CCGTGACTTTCCCACTCGATGAACTTTGTAAGCCATAAAATGCTGAAAGCGTTGTCGTGTTCCTAAAGAGCGTGTCTGTGACCCCTGCCCGTTCACCTCCTCACAGACCCTGAGTCGTTTCTGCAGCTGCTGTTTGAGGCGTCGCCCGAGCCCTTTGTTCTGCAGACGTCCCCCGACACGCTGACAGTCAGCATGTCTGCAGGCCCGATCAAAATAACTCACATTCTCATGTAAATGCTTCAGCGCGCCTCCCAACGAGGGCTCGTTTTCACTGTGGCTCTAACTGCTCAGCTGATCTGTGGCAGACGCCCCGACGATCGTCTGTCAGCAGACACGAGCTCGGGTCTGAGGCTTCAGTCCAGCAGCTCCATCACAAAGTCCTGAGTGATGGAGCAACACGGAGGTCATGATCCTGATGCTGCAAAGCTGCCACACACAACTTTCTACTTTACTCAGTTACTTTACAGCCTGAAGGAGTTTGTTCAGAGTGAGCAGATGCATGAGGACGGAGCTGAGCCCATGTTTGTGTAATAACTGTCCTCATGGCTGTCATGTGACTGCGCTGTCATGTGACCATCCTCCTGTCAGAGCCTGCAGTTCCTCCGATGTCCAGCAGAGGCAGCAGAGTTCAAATAAAGCTGTTTACAGCCTGATGCACCAACTGGTTTCTGTCCGGTCGTTAAGTCTGACGTCACTAGCCGTGTCTGGGCCTAAACTCCGCTGCAGGTCCATATATCAAACGATCACTATGGCATTACTGAGAGTTGAAAAACTGTCTAAAGTCTTTCATCTTTAATAAAATGATCAGCGTACTGCTCTACCAGGTGTAACAATTGAGTTTAACATCCAGGCATCCATGAAAACGGAATTTATGACATTTAACGGAGTTAGAAGTTAGCAGGGAGTTAGCTCGCTAGCTTCTATCTAAATACAATATAGCATGTCCTGACTGCGGGGTTTTGGAAACAAATTAAAACGTACAGCTCTGTTATCACTTCCAACATAAATGAAGTCAGAAAACTAAACAGCAGTGACGTTTGTAGGGTTACTGAAGTTGGGCTAGCTGGTATATAATGATGTGCTACGTGACCGCTAGCTACACAGCTATGTTAGCATAATATAAACAAGCTAACTGTTTTTCCACTCGATAAAAGTTAACGTGAGTGTTCTCGGTGGTCAGGAACAAATGTAATCGCATGGCAGGATGCTGTAAAAGGACCAAACTTCAGCCAGGAGAACAACTGAGATAATCCATCCACAATACGAGGTTAGTCATTCATATACTGCTGCATGGGCTGGGCTGTAGTTACATCCTAAGGTTTTAAAAACTGAGCTTAAATAAATGATTAGCGGTAATAAAAGCTGAGGGAGGTCAACAGGGATCACTGACTGTTTTAGGAGCTTTTTGAGATCAAATAGAAGAAAATACAAAACATTAAACATGTTAACAACACAAAAGCCATATTAAACGCAGACTACTTTAGGCCCGGAAGTAGGATTCGTCACGTCATCACTTAACGACCGGATAACAACTGTGTTCCATAACTCACCTGTATTAGGGTTCATGTTTGCATTATTAGGGGCGTGGCCTCTCTGACTGACAGGTGGATGGTGACACAGTGTACCCCCCACCCCCACTGAGTCGTGTGCAGGACACGATCACTCCGTCAGCGTGGTGGAGGAGCTCAGCACCATGAGGAAGATCCTCCAATGAAAGGCTCGTGGAAGCTGAGACAGCGAGAAGAGAAAACATGACTTACGGCGCAAAGACCAGAAAGAAAAAGGAGGCAGCAGAAAGTTTCTAGATGGTGGAGCTGGTGTAGAAGCTGCTGTGGACTGTGGGTGCAGTGGGAGCTGCAGGGCTCGAGACTAATGTTTTCCCACAGTTGCACTTTTTCTCTTTGGTGCTCCCAAATTTTTCAACCGCATCACTGAACACTTCAGCTTTACATGTAGACTTTTTTAAACTGCTGTCCATACAGACAACATTGATGAATGATTAACAATCTGTCAACACAAAGTTCTTTATTTGGAGCTCATTTCTACACGTTACCGTATTTTTAGGGCACCGGATTATAAAAATAGTCAAACTTTACGCCATTGATTCATTCATGTTGAACTCTCTCACAGCTGCTCTGTTCTCATGTGGGACGGGACGAGGTGCGACCTCTCACAACGAACGTAATATGGTCAACACCTTGGAGACGCTTACAGCTGCTGTGAAGGCTCAAAGCAACACCATTGAGCGTATGAGGGGAAACATCAGAGAGAGGCCTGCTCAAAATGACACCCTTGAGCGACAGTTGGAAAACATCGCGGAACGGATCACTGTAGTTGTGAGGTCTCAGAATCAAAAGACTAACAACACCACGGAACAGAAGTTTGATACCATCATGGGGAGGCTCGCAGCTCTCCAACGGGAGATCGAGAGACCAGCCTCGGAGTGCTAGAATTCGAGCTGCTCACAAAGGAGAAATCAACAATATTCAACATTTGGACACCACGGCCCCAGCTGCAGGCCCAAGGCTGGAGCCCACCAAAACAACTCCCTGATAACGACTGTGTGATGACTATTCTTCCCGCCCCATGAAGGACACCTTGGCTGGAGGACTGTTTACTTAGCCTGATAGGCCGAAGGACACTGTCTCAGCTAAACTATGGACACGCACACACTTACACTGATAAGCACTCACTCATCCCCCTCCCTTTCCAAACGCCTTCGATGCTTGTGCCCTACCGGGGATGATAGCAGTCAACTGGACCAGCACAGATGCTGCAGGACCGGATGCGCTGTCTACGCCGGCTCTCTCTTACCCTTTACCCGCCCCTGTTGCTTGTCTCGTGTTTCTATGGTGTATTGATAGTCATGTGCTTTTGTGCTGAGGTGTTTTTTCTGTTATCAAACTGTTCTCCCACTAGGAGCTCAGTCTGAGTGGAGTTTTTTTCTCCACCTCTTACCTCATGTAGTGTATTTTCGTTGTTTTTTCCTATCAGCCTACCTTCTGACATGTCTGCCCAATGTGATGTTTGTGTAAAGTTGGTCAGAAGGTTCCTTTGTGAGTGCGCATGCGCCATTAGCGTGCTGCCTGCTGTAACCCTAATTTCCCTCGGGATGAATAAAGTATTCTGATTCTGATTCTGATTATGCTGCGCGACTGATAGAGTTTGAAGCTTCGTAACCATGTCTCTTAGCAGGAGCCAATTTGGGCTCCTTATGCACGCACAGTACAGTAATATTATGTTGAAGCACGGTACGTATCACTCCGCGAGGGTCCTGACTACAGTAGCTGTAACGCTCCATCGAGCGTTGCGGGTTCGTAGCTTAGCAAAGTCGTGCTAAACATTTTAACTGCTTTGAGCGCCGTGTAGCACATCAAATCAGTTCGAGGTCAGTAAACACAACCAGAATTCATACATAGGGCGCACTTTTGAGGAAATGAAAGGATTTTAATTGCACCTTATAGTCCAAAAAACACGTTACTGAAAAGGTTCTTGTGCTTAAAGTGTTTCACTGAGCTGAAATTTAAACTTAAAATATCTCAAGACATATGAAATAAAAAGAAAGTCTAAATTAAAAATGCCTCAAAGGCTTCAAACTGAACATCTCAAAGGCTGTATCCCAATTCAGGGTCTGCAGCCTCAACGATCCTCATGGGCCGCGTACTTAAAGACCGCTAAGGCCGGAAGTGCGAGGTTTGTGAAATGGGACGCTCTAGCCTCCGTCACGCTGCCCAGGTTGCCTAGCAACCATGATACTAACAGCTGGAAACGTGTCATACAGCTGTGTTTGACAGAGATGAAGGAGAAAATCTTTTGTTCATTTGTTTGTTTCTACATGAGCTTTGATCATTCTGTGATTAAGCTCAGCTATTGATCGGTGTATATTTTAAAGTAAAGGTTTTAAAACCAAGTTAGTACAAACGCCACTAATGTCACATGACTTTGCCGACATGTGGCCAACAGGAATGTTTAATGTTCTTCGTTATTAAACATTTGCACATCAATAAGTGACATCATATTCAGTACTTAAAGTTTACTCTTCGGGCGCCCCTCATCCGCCGTTTTTTTCCCAATATTCTGGGATATGTTGGGCCACGAAGTCTACACCACCACGTCCTTAAAATTCAGGGAAATGAAGGACGCATTTGAGGGCCGCATTTCTAGCAGCCTTTGAATTGGGACAGCCTTCGTCTGTCGCAGTTACGTAATTAAAATGCGGCCTTTCAGGCTGCAGACCCTGGATTGGGATACAGCCAATATCTGAACATCTTACCTTGGGCAATAGAGAGGTCCCGCCCCTGACTATCTCTGATTGGTTTAGACCACGATATGGGCATGATGTGTGTGTCGGCTCAGTTTGGGCCAATAAATCATTCTAATGATTACCTGCAGTGTGTTCATTGGCTTATAACCTGTCAGACCCGCCCCTCCTCGTACCCTCTGCGTCTGAACACACTCTTCACACAGCTTTGATACTGTGTGTGTCGTTAATTTAAAAATAATGATTTACATGAACAGACGACTGAGTATGTTTTCTCTTCCTCCATTTCTGCTGCACCGTCCTGCGCCGCGGGTCCAGGTCCTGCGACGACGTCACGTTTGAGCTGCGAACACAGAGCTGCTCTTCTGCACCGGGGTCTGCAGACCAGCACGCAGTGCACAGAGGGAGCTCAGATCGTCTCAGGCTGGTGTGTCATCATGATGCAGCCCACACATCTGCAGCAGCTGTGATGATGTCTTGATGATGTCATGTCTAAATAGAGCAAAGCCCTGATGAATGTTTCCTGCAGCGTGTTGAGTCTGAATCATGAAGAATTAAAGCAGCTCTGAAGAAGAGGCCAGACGTTTGTACAGTCGCCCCCTGCTGGACATTACAAAGAATGCAGGTTTAAGGCACGTCAGCATTGGCTGCTTCCGTCTTTTACCATCAGGTGATACAGAAGGCGGAAAAATATAAAGATGAAGGTTTTTGTGCTTTGTTAAAGAAATCCAGACACGAATGACATCACATGATGGTTTTATTGAGGACAGCTGGGACAGACAGGTGAACAGTGAAGCACAGGTTACGTGGAGGTGAGGACGTACAGGAAACTCTGACAGAAACAGTCGGCTTAGTTTGAAAGTATTTTAAGTGAACGCTGTAGATTTGGCCCAGCGTCATCGAGTGTTGACAGAAATCCCAAAGACAAGCTAAAACTTTTAAGAACTCTTCTTAAGATTCAAAGGGACATTTTTTTTGTCACAAACCCGTAAAAACTGAGGAACACAAAAAGGCAAACAAACAACTGAAGCAACATGTGCAAAAATCCAACATTTTCCTCTGGTGCCACACAGCACGCCTTCCTGGAAACAGGAAGACGTTTAGCACAGCCGCTAGTGGCGTTTGAACATTCATCGTAAATCTAACCGTTTCCCTCTGCTGCAAAATTCAGCCGTGCCGCTTCGATCCAAGTTTGATCCGGTTCAGTCCGGTCAGGACCAGTTCTGGCCACCCATGTAGTATCCTGCCGGGTCTGAGAGCATGCACTGGTTCTGCTGGCTGGCGCTCCGGTTTTTGGCATCGATGAGCAGCAGAGGAGACTGGGAATAATGGCTGATGATGTCACTGACTGACGGGAAGGACTGGACATACAAGACACAGTTAGATTACACCTCCCCCTACAGGTCAAACACAGTTATTACAGGTGAACGCTGAAGGTGGAACTTTACTGATGTTGTTAGGTAACCTTGGTATTCGCTCTGACATCACAGCATTTATATCAACAACCCCTCAAATTGTACTGGACGAGTTATGAAGGCCAACAAAAGTCTGGATGCTTCTCAGTGTTTACAAGAAACACAGCAACTGGACCTGGAGTCACTGGATACGGTCACTTTCAGGCATTTCCCTGATCTTTATTACATTTTCAGGTTAACATGTCTCTGTGCACTTATATTGTCACATACACAATCACACAGAGAACAACATGTAGTGACTTGTGTCCGAGCATTGTGTGTCTCTGCCCGTAGGTGCTGCTGCTAGCTACTCTTAGCTACTGTTAGCACATGTAAGCTTCGCCACAGTTTAAGCTTTAGTGTAATGTTAGCTGCCGTGATGTTAGCTTGTAACGTTATGATGTTGTTTAGTCGTCTCTTGTCAGCTGTCCAGAGACGGAGGGTCGCATGGCTACACTGTGATAACAGACAAGATTGATTTGTCATGTCAGAAGCCTAAATTCAGGTGAGGAGGAGGAGGGTGGTCCTGGAGGAGGCTGATGAAGATGATGAGACAGAAAAGGAAACTATAAAAAAGTTGAAACAGATGCAGTCACACAGTTTATCTGATGCTTGTATCTGTTGTGATGGGACAAAAAGTAGTGATGATTTCACGTATGTAGTGATTGGACGTGATCAAAACTCCTTGTCAGGTCCAATATGGCGGACAGCTCTTGAGTGAGCTGCACATGACATCATGTGGAAAACCTCTGTAGCTGATTAAAGTGCCCTGAACACTGAAATCTGCTGCAAACGTGAATAAGAAAGCCTGAAGTAAACAGACATGTTGGCTGTATGACTGAAGAATCCAGGATTTTACCTCCTGGACTTTGAGTCCGGTTCCCAGCACGAACTGCTGGTTCTGCTGCCTGATCTGGATGTTGTAGACTTTGTCCTGGTAGTAGACCATCAGGGTGAAGGGCTGGTTCGCCTGCTGCCGGGTGCTGTCCCTCACCAGGTACGCCCCATCCTAGATGAGACACAGGATTTAAAATGTTTAGACCACAGTGTTAGCATGCTGGGTATGTGACTGCTGCTCCACTGAGTCCTGATAAACAAGTTTGAAGCCTGAATAACAGAAACTTTTATTATGACGCTCTGTTCCTGGTACCTTGCGGACTCGTTTCAGACATCCTTCAGCCTGACCTCGGGTCACTTTACCCACATACCAGCGAGGGTCCAGCTCCTGCAAAATAATTTCCCCCAGGGATCAATAAAGTATTCTGATTCTGATTCTGCACACAGACACGCACAGTAATAAACCCTCTGATGACGAGCTCTGTGTGTGTTTCAGCAAAGACAAAGGAAACAGCACCACCTGCTGTTCACACTGAAGAACATCACCCAGAACATTGTTGTAATTATTATTATTGTTGTTGTTGTCGTTAAAAGTACATATATTAAATCAAATACAAACAAAAACATCTGTGCCGTTTCCTATATTTTAAATTAAAAACTGTCTGATAGAAACCGTCATTTCTTGATGAAGCTTTTATTGTGAAACACTTCCTCTGTGTGCAGTACTGACCGTGGGTCAGTAACTCATGCTGCTCCTCTTTAAAAGGTTCTGATCAGTATGGACCTCATAATGTTTATGTGACCCACGGTGCCCACGTGTCACAAAGACAAGCGCGTGTGTATTTTAGTGTTACCTGTGTGTATCCTGCTGCAGATGGAGGAGGACGAACTGACTGTCTGCCCGACGGCATCGCTGCAACACCACAAAAACACACAATCACACTACCATCACTTTACATTCATTTATCATGTCTATGTGCAAAGACAATAAAGGGCTATTCTACTCTATTCTATTCTATGTCCTGAGGACTCAACCAAACCACGGCCCAAACCAACCCACAGCTAACCTCACATGACCTTTTCACCCACTGTGTGTTTCAACTGTGACTCTGATGGAGCCATAGTCAAATATTTTATTTAAAAGAGCAGTCGCCCCCTGCTGGACATCAGTGCAGTTCCATGTTGATTGAACTTTTAAGAAATCATTTTGTATAAATTTGTGCTGTTATTCATAAATCTGTTTATTCTAATGTATGAATCATTAAAGCTGTTTCATCTCTGGTCTGCTGGACAAACTGAGCACGCTCACAGAGGCATTTTAAACCTTTTCACTGGTTTCAAATCGATTTCTGGAGTTTTATTGTGAAAGGACAGATGTATTTACACTCTGAGAAAAAGTGTATTTCACAAAATGTCAAACGAATTTTCTTCTTACGAGGTTGCAGTTTGTGTGGCAGCGATCCAGTCCTGTTAAAAACAATAAAAATAAGTTTACCATGAAATATTCTCTATTTTTCACTTAAAATTAAACTTGTAAAGGTTTGTGTTTTTGTAAACCACCACAAGCAGAAATCTTATGGTCTAACGGTCACTCACATTTTGTCTCCAGTGGGAGGGCCGGGGGGTCCGGGCCGGGGAGGCTTGCTAAGGGGGAAAGTGTTGCTGTTTGACACTGAAGGGGAAAAACAGCGAGAACAGATTTAAACACACACGTTTTAAACAAGTAACAAAGTTTAATTTTTTTTTATTTAGGAAGTAAATCTGGAAAAAATGAATAAACCTCACCTTCGTCTGGCAGCTGCTGAGGAAAAAAAGAAAAACACAAGAATTTAACTTTTATTTCCCAATGTTACAAACCTCAGACGAGGACATGAATACAAACATATGTCTTCATCTAACTCAGAGAAACACGATTTAAAATGTTCATTTGTTTAACCAGAGATATTAAACCTGGTGACAGTAAATAAATAAACTATATTTACGTCTGTGTGTGTGTGTGTGTGTGTGTGTGTGTGTGTGTGTGTGTGTGTGTGTGTGTGTGTGTGTGTGTGTGTGTCGTACCGGTCTCCTCTCCGTCCTGCTGAAACAAACAAACCAAACGTGACTATTTTTCAAACATCGTCCTTCAGCTGTTAAATAAAAATATTTTGCTACAAATAAACGTTGAATTAAATAAACTGTAAACATCAAAGTGAATCGTTTATCTTCAGGTGATACCTGCTGGGTGAGAGGTGGGCGGAGGAGTTGCTCCTGTTGATGTTGGTGGAGGGCAGAGGTGGTTTGGTAAAGGTGGGCGGATCCTCCTGCGGTGGCCTGCGTGCACCAACACACCAACATTTATTTACACAGCACAAACATGACAGTAACAAACACAATAACAATAAATAACAAGTCAGCGAATAAAGACCAGCACTGAGGTAGACTGCCTGATGTGAAGAGGAAGATCCAAAGCTTCAATTTCAGCTGTGATGTAGCGGCAACAGCTGACCGGCGTGAACGAGGGGGGGTAAATATACAGGAGCAGAGCGTTTAAGGATTTAAAACCCAGTAAAAGGATTTTAAATTGAATTTGAAGCCAGTGTAAGGAGGTGCTCAGATGTTCTTTTACCAGTTAAAACCAGCTGTGGGCGTGACAGAGAGACCTGGCAGGTTACAAAAGCCTGGAGAGAAAAGGCTCGACCCTCCACAAACGTCTGAGGTGATAGAATCAAGATTTCATCACTGCCATCAAAACTAAGCGCAGAGTCGATTTTTACCCCAAGATTAGTAACTGAGCTCTTCAGGGTCAGTGCAGCAGAGTCAACATCTGGGGTACCAGAGGAATTCAATTTAACTTTATTTATATAGCGCCCAATCACAACAACAGTCGCCTCAAGGCGCTTTATATTGCACAGTAGATCCTACAATAATACAAACAGAGAAAAACCCAACAATCATATGACCCCCTATGAGCAGCACTTTGGCAACAGTGGGAAGGAAAAACTCCCTTTTAACAGGAAGAAACCTCCGGCAGAACCAGGCTCAGGGAGGGGCGGGGCCATCTGCTGTGATTGGTTGGGGTGAGAGTTGAGGAACGACTGGGACTGGATAAAATTCATTTTACGTTCATTAAAATGTAAACATTTAGAGCCTCCGTGACTTAACATGACTGAGACAATCAGGCAGCAGACCCACAGAGACGACAAAGCTGCCAGTCGTCCGCGTATAGATGAAATGTTGTGTTTTCAGAAGATCGCACCCAGTAGCAGGAGATACAATGAAAACAGGAGTGGTCCAATAATAGATCCCTGTGGTACACCCCACGGCAGAGCTGCCACAGAGGATGAAGCTAACCCTGAGTTGGGGCGCCGAGATGGAAATCCTCACACGGCGCTGTAGTCAGTGTACACAGATGTATACACTTACTGTCTTATTACCTTAGCATAGGACAGGAGCTACGCATGTTTATTCTTTGTAAAAGACGTTAAAAGTATAAATCTGCTTATTTACAATCTATGAAAAGATTAAAGAATTACTGAAAACTGAACGTAGAAGAGTGTGTGTGTGTGTGTGTGTGTGTGTGTGTGTGTGTGTGTGTGTGTGTGTGTGTGTCTGTGTGTGTGTGTGTGTGTGTCTGTGTGTGTGTGTGTGTGTGTCTGTGTGTGTGTGTGTCTGTGTGTGTGTGTGTGTGTCTGTGTCTGTGTGTGTGTCTGTGTCTGTGTGTGTGTCTGTGTGTCTGTGTGTGTGTGTCTGTGTGTGTGTGTGTCTGTGTGTGTCTGTGTGTGTGTCTGTGTGTGTGTGTGTGTGTGTGTCTGTGTGTGTGTGTCTGTGTCTGTGTGTGTGTCTGTGTGTGTGTGTGTGTGTGTGTGTGTGTCTGTGTGTGTGTGTGTGTGTGTGTCTGTGTGTGTGTGTGTGTGTGTGTGTGTGTGTGTGTGTGTGTGTGTGTGTGTACACACCTCCAAGGTTGTCCGCCCGGCTGCAATAAGCAGAAAATGAATGAGAGTAAATGTTTGAATATGAACATAGTGAAACATTAGATCAGAGTTAGCGTGCGACGTTAGCGTGCGACGTTAGCGTGCGACGTTAGCGTGCGACGTGTGGAGCTGCTCGGGTCTAACTCTTCATCCGTGTGTTGTTTTTCTGGTTTGTCATGTGTACAAAGTGTTTTGTAAACTCACCTTGTCGCGCGTGTTGTTCGGTCCTGTGACGATGATAAAACAAACGTCATTCACAGTTTGATTCCAAACATAAAGTTCAGTCGTGTTGTTTGTTTTTCTTTATGTTTCGGTGGGACAGGCCACCGTGGGAGGGATTTCCTCCAGCCCTGTCGGCCTGCACAGGTGAGTCAGCGGGCCGAGATCAGGTGAGGTCATTTACCTCTGATGGGGGACGAGTTGGATCCTGGACCTCTGCCTGGTTTGATGTGACGAAAGACCTGCGGTGGCTCAGGAGGCACTGAACACAAACACATGAAGAGCAGCTTTAACAAGGAGCCCAGAGGAATCACATGACCTGAGAAGATGTCATGTGATCAGCGTGTTTGCAGGAAGTTACTCACGCTTTCCAGGAGGTCGTGGACCACAATGAGGGGAGGGGTCTCTGCGAGCGTCCATGGGCTGCTTTGATAACACACACGCAAACACACACAGACACACTTAGCAAATACTTAACAAACTATTCTAAAGTATGTGTGGCGCCCTCTGTGGAGACACTCGGTACTACGATAAGCTTGACTCACCATCCGAGATGGTGGCGTAGAGACGGGGGGGCGGGGAGACACAGCGGGGGGCTGACCTCGGGACACATGGTTGTCTACACACACACACACACACACACACACACACACACACACACACACACATTTATAAAGCGTGTTTGGTCGTTATTTTCATCTCTGTTACAAACACTGAAACAAACTCGACTGCGTCTGGAGTCAGAAATGACCCAAATGATGATTCGATGGTAATATTTTCTGGCGTGTGTGAACTAATGAGGGTACCAATGTAATCCCCGTCCCCGATGGGCCGGGGGGGGCACAGCTTGTGGTCCTCTGCGGGTTCAGAAGGAGGCGGCTCGTAATCGTTACCCGCGTCCTGGTCATCGTTTGGGGACTCGTAGTCTCCCCCGCTGCCGTCATCGTCGCTGTACGGACTCTCGTAGTCATCGTCAAATTCATCGTCCTGACCGAGGAAACGCAGAGAGAAGCTTGTGTTGGGTGGACGTCTAACACATGTATATCCTTTAAAATGTAAATGTGTACAATAATGAATCATCTTTGTGTAATTATTATTTATGTGTTCTATCTAATGTCACCTCTGTCATCGCTCTCATGTGTATTTTATGGTGTTTGCGACATCATGAATTTTGTTTTTATTCAGTAAATAAATCGATAAACTCACAAACTCGTCTTCGCCCCATCCCTGAGGCTCAGAGTTGATTTCTGCAGAGGAGAAAGCAGCAGGTTAACATCTGTGTTTCCAGATGTGACGAAGAAATAATCACAGAGACTCAAATCACTGACGACACGACGAGCTTTCAGACTTCGTAATAATACTGCAATTAGGTAAATATCTATTACAGATCCTTACTCATCATCGCGAAACTATGTGATAATGCTAACCTGTTTTTATTGTTGTTTCTATTTCCTGTGAATTTTTATTCCAGCTTTGTCAAAATAAAATATTTACACTTCATCACAAACACTTCCTGCTTCTGTTCGATTGGAAAGTCCCCGTAAAACGGCAGCACACCCAACGTTATGTTTAAGTTTCACATATCAGGAACTCTGATCTGGTGTGACGGAGGTGAACGCAGTCTGATGGAAACTACACTGAAAATTCCACCACATTACAAAGGATTTTATTCTGAAACAACTAATACATGCGACGATTATTCAAACCATCCATGGCTCTGTGTAGAAACATTAAACATTAATAAATTCTTACCTGGTTCTTGATATTTGGACGTCCTGTGAGAAAAAAAGGTGTGAGAAAGTCAGAGCTGAGTCAAACCTCAGCACTGCTCAGGTGATGTTTTTAAATAGATGTAAAATAACCACAAAGACAAAAAACAGTGTGCAGGAAACACGAACAAAGCTCTTTTATGAATCAACTGTAAAAGTTTTAGCACCTTCTTCTGATGCTAATTTAAGTTTTATCAAGCAAACATCCAGAAAAACAGTCTTTAAGCAACAACAGAAGTCAACTTTCCCTTTTAGACTTCACTTAGAGATAAACTCTAATATAAAGAAACGTGAGTCTGTATGTTGTTATTCGTATAAATAAGCTGGCCGTGACAGAGCTCCCAGTACAGCGTGTGCCTCTAAGACAGACGACAGCTAGCATGAAATGTTGGCTCGCACCATTCAGCAAACAATTTCACACAAACCACATTATAACAGCAACCAGCGAGCTAACGTCAGCGTGCTGCTCAGAGTCTGCATCAGTTTCATGTACTCAGCAAAGTCTTGATAAATCTTTGAAATCATTAACAACAAATCAGTGCCCGGAGGCGTTTCAGGTGGTTGTTTGTTCAGACATGTGATGCTAAAATCGACCCTTATTTAACGTTACGATCATTTTAGCTGCTAAAGTAGTTTGACAGGTCGGTCAGTCACTAATTCAGACAGTGTTTTACCAGCAATAAAGCTAGCAAGCAAATAAGCTAACGTTAGCCAGCCAGCCATTGCTTAGCAACGCAACATGAATTTTGCGATTAACATGAGGTGATGCGTTTCTCAGAAAACGGTTTGTGTGAATCAACCTTCACTGTCTGCTGGCGTGCTCCATGAGCGAGCCTTTCAGAATAAGATACAGGTTCTTCTATGAACACAGTCCAACAGTATTCTGGCCCTATCTGGACTTTGTGCTTGAACAGATGTATAGGAGACACCAGTGGTTACCAGACTGTCGTTTCATTGCCACGATTAAAGCACAGGCTGTTGTTATAAGCAGAACATGAACGTACTTTTTATTAAAGAAGCCTCCCCTCTTCTCCTTCTTGTTGATTTCACTGTTGAGTTTGGAGATCATCCTGCAGAGACATGGATACATGACGTCACAGTGTGGTTAACCCTCGCCTGGGTCTCCCTCAGCGTTCAGACTATACCACATAATCAGCACATCTAACATCAAACACCAGCTTTGGTTACAAGTGAAGACTTTCTGTTAACAGTACTGATCCAGTAAAATGTCTCTCAATCAAAGCTGTGGCCCAGGCCGACTGCAGTACCACAGCGCAGCAGCAGGGGGCAGTACTCACGGAGTATGAAGTTTAGGGAATTTCTGGAGGTCGTTGTCGCTCAGATTCTGCAAAAACAAACAGGGTCACATCCTTCCCTACACCCTTCTTTCCTTTTCCAGTTTTATTTTCTTGAGTTGAACTCACCACAAATCTGGAACCAGAGATGGAGTGCTTCAGCACGACTTTGTCACAGCCGGACAGATTCATCTGCAACAGGGACGTCACAGGGACATATCATTCAAATATGAACACATCTATTTATTATTATTGTTTTATTATCACTGTTTCTTATTCGATTCTTTTCTGTCTTCCAGGAAATACCGATTCTTCCTCACGTATGGACGTGATGTTCTCCGCAGACGATTCTGCGAATGTGAAACATCTAAACTAACACACTGTGGCGGAGGTGTGGTCCCGGGCACGGCTGCAGGGGAGGAGTGGTGCAGTGGGCTCAACGCGGCGGTGCTGGAGATGCCGGTGAGAACAGCTGATGGCGATTTGGACTGATAATGGTTTCCTTCCCTTTTTATAGTGAGACGGAGAGGACCAGGGGGGGAAATCAGCTGGGACCGGCAGCTGTCAGACTGTGTTCATATCATAACCTGGGAAAACTATAAATAAATGTGGAAGCTGGTGATAAAGACCTGTGTGTGTGTGTACCTGTGTATAGTGCATTTCACACACACGCAGTGACGCAAAGCAAAGATAAGAATCGGTTTCTGATGTCACAGTTGCTGGCCACACCGCCTCGCTCCAGACTTTCAGCTGTAACTGCTTATGGACGGGACTGAAGCGTTAGCGTCATTTTGTCCCACACAGACTTCCTCAGATTTCCTGCTGATTCTCAAAACATAGCCAAGCACGAGCGACTCGTCAGCATCAGTGAGATGAGCTCACAGAGCTGGTCTGAGGTTCGACACAAACAGGCATCGGCCTCTTTTCCACGTTTCGTGTTGTCATGACGATTCTTCTTCTTGGTGCAGAACGAGCCCACGTTTGAACAGATTTGATAAATGAACACGATGCAGCCTGAGTGGTAAAGGAGTCTGTGGGTTGCATCCACCAATCATTAAAAGCCTCTGACATCAGACGCTATAAAAGAATCGCTCGGAAACTTTGTGTCGCGCTGATAGAGCCAGTCTTTTATGCTGATGAAGCACAGAGTGCAGATAGGGTGGAGTAGGTGGAAGATGGAGATATGGGACGAGTGCATCAGAGTCAGAGAGGCTGAGGTGGTTTGGAAGAAGCTCAGAGGAGGTTCATGGATGTAGCGAAGGAGGACATGAACAGCGTGTGACAGAGGAGGATGCTGGGGTGGACGATCTGCACGGGACTGAAGCGTCTCCGCTGAGCGAACGTCCCGCAGGCTTGTTGTGCAGAGATCAGTGAGGAGACATTCAGAGTGAAAATAAGCCCACAGGGATTTCTTCTACAGAAGTTCACCCCATGATTTGAATGTTTGGCCGCGTCTGTAACAAGTTACAGTTATTATCTCCCACATGTTGCTATTCTTGCCTCCGAGCACGCATGCTGAAACACCGTAGGCCTTAAATAACCCCATCAAACCCCAAATGGAAAATAACGACACTTCCTGCGGCTCTGCGCCGACGTACAGCTTTCATCTGCTCCACCTGTCTGCTCCGATACTTTGCACCATCAAACTGCTGCTCAGTGACCTAAAAATAATCAGACGTGATCAGATGTTAAAGTCTGTTAAAGTAAGACGAACTGTTTAGATTATAAGAGATGCACAGGAAGGGGAAACCCGGCAGTTTGTCACATCTCACTCCTCTTCATGCAGCCGCCTTCAGACGCGAGCAGCTAACGGCTAACGCTGCTGCTTCTGAAGTGTAACTGACACCCGGCTGCCTTTGTCCTTGTTCTCGGGGACTTTTATCCAAACGCATCACAAACACTTCCTCGTTAAACTTCTCTGAGTCGTTACGTCACAGCGTTTGAACTTCTGCAGAAAAATGTCACCATCCCTGCGATCAGCAGGAAAGCTGTACGCAATCACGCTGTGGCAGAGCCGACGACAGTTACTCAGTCCAGCCTTTAACTACAGATGCACAAAGCACCAGAAGCATCGGGCTGACACATGAAGCTGGCTGCACGTCTGATCGCATGAAAGTTTGCATTATTACCATTGTTTGACTGACCGTCTGAACTGCACCTCTGCATTTTGAATGACATCATCAGTGAGGTCACTGCACTAACAGCGAGCCAGAGCTTTACTGAAGTGTTGTTGATCAGCACGCTACGCCAATGTTTCAAACACAGGGCATCAAACACCGAAGCTGCGGTCACCACGTCTCATCGAGCTCCATGTCGGGCAGGTGCAGCAGCTCACCTGAGCCTCTGAGGTGAGCTGCTGCTCACTAACGTTCGGTTTGGTTCACGGCGCCGTCTGAGCATGAGTCAGCTGACCCCGCCGCTCGGAGGATCCCGAGGAGCTGAAAACGAGGACGTACACGAGGACGCACAAACAGTACGGACGGAGGCCTCACCCTTCTCAGGTAGTCCGCCAGCTGCTGCGGGTTCCACCCCATCATGTCCGACCTGGACGGCACGCGGTCCGAACTCATCCTGCTCGATGCTCAAAGGCACGACGTCAGCCCGGCTGCTGTCAGACCCAGAGCACGCTAACATCTGAGAGAAAGAGGCGATCTTTGAGCTCGCTTCTCGTCCTCTGAGGAAGTGATCGGGCTCGTAGTTTCTGCGCCGTTGTTCTCCTTCAGCCCGCAGTCTGACTAACGGGCCTCGCCGCCTCTTCCTGTGAAGACTCAGACGTCTCTGAAAGACAGAAAAGCAAAGAGCTGCGAGCGTCTCAGCTTTTACTTCCCCAAACCGAGTCGTGCGGTCTAACTGCGCGAGCGTCCGTCCGGCAGCGCAGGCAGCAAAGAGCAGGCAGACATGTCACCCGGGCCCAAAATGGCTTCCTCCTCCTCCACTCCTTCAGTCTCTCTCTCTGCGTCTCTCTTTCCTCTCTCTCTCTCTCTCTCTGAGAGGAAGTGAAGTGGGGGATGGATGAAGGCAGCATCACCCCCACCCCCCGTCTGACCACAGAGCGGAACAGCGTCTGCAGCTGCACCCACTCGCTGCAGCGACGCTGTTGAAATGCCAAACAGAGGAACAAACGAACCCCGGATCAGCTGGCACTGCCCCGACCCCGGGTCAGCCCGACGGAGGGCCTCCATCAGTGCCGAAGGCCAGGGTCGTTACCCAGCATGCATCTGTGCAGTCAAGCCACCTCTGCACATTCTGAAAAATGTACTCCAAGTATTCAAAGTAAAAGTATTGTTTACCAAAACAGTTTGTGTATCGGGCTGTGAAATGTTTACATCTGCTGTTTAACATGGGGGTCTATGGGGACGGGCTCACTGCTGCCTCTGCTGGACGTCAGAGGAACTGCACCGCTCAGAGCAAACCTGAAAAAGTCGGGACGAAAACAGGAGCTCATATTTTATTCGTGATCGAACACAGAAAACAAAAGATTAAAGTGAGAGAATGAGCCATCTCAGAAAAGCTCGTGCTGAAGAAGCGGAGGAAGATTTACCAGCTGATCATGTGACCTGTCAGCAGCTCGGTCACATGATCGAGGATAAAAAGAGGTTCTCAGAGAGGCAGAGCTTCACCAACATGAATCATGTTCCTCACCGTGAACAGTTCATCAGCGTTCTCAGAGAAGCTGGAGGACGCTCTGTGGGACGAGGCCGATGACCGTGAGCTTCAGCAGATGAGTCTCAGGAACACTCCCTGAAACCTGCTGGACGTGCCGTCCACACGTGCAGGTTACAGCTCCACCACAATGGAGGTGGTCCATCCCAGCCAATCAAGGACGCCGCGCCGTCAGACTGAAGAGGGCAGGGAGCGTCCGGCTCGTTCTCAGGGCTCAGGTCAAAGCCTGCAGCTCTGTGTGGCCTTCATGTTTGAGCAGGACGATGCTAACCTGCAGCGCAGGAGAGGGGACACACGGACCTGTCCCACGTTGTTGGACCTGTGATTGGCCTCATCAGTGACAACGATGAGGCCAACCACAGGGAGGAGGTGGATCGTCTGGCTGAGTGGTGCGACAGAAACAACCTGCTGCTTAACACCGAGAAGACCAAGGAGCTCATCGTGGACTACAGGAGGAATGCTGACCCACATCCACCCATCCACATTAAGGGGACGGCTGTGGAGCGTGTGAGCAGCTTCAAGTTCCTGGGAGTCCACATCTCCGAGGATCTCACCTGGACGACCAACTGCTCCAAGCTGGTCAAGAAGGCTCACCAGCGCCTCTTCTTCTTGAGGACCCTGAGGAAGAACCACCTGTCCTCAGACATCCTGGTGAACTTCTATCGTTCACCATCGAGAGCATCCTGACCAACTGTATAACAGTCTGGTACGGGAACCGCTCTGTCTCGGACCGGAAGGCGTTGCAGAGGGTCGTGAAAACTGCCCAGCGCATCGCCGGAGCACCACTTCCTGCCATAAAAGACATCTACAGGAAGCGGTGTCTGAAAAGGGTTGGGAAAATCATCAAAGACCCCAGTCACCCATCACATGGACTCTTCACCCTCCTGCCCTCTGGGAGGCGCTACAGGAGCCTCCGGACTAAGACCACCACGTACCGGAACAGCTTCTTCCCCACAGCTGTCAGACTCCTGAACTCTGCCTCCTGACATCTGACCCACGTTAACACATGGACTGAACATACACACACCCACAATGGACAACTGTACCCTCAAACACACAATAATAACATGGACTGAACCACCACTCACAACCACTAGCACTTTATATACCTCTGTAGAAGCTATCTACACCCTCACTTACCTTAACTGCACTACTGTATAGCTCTGTGTAAATAATCATTCTGTACATTCAATAATCTTTAATCCTACAACTGTTTACAACTTGCATAGTTCCCATTTCTGTATAGCTGTATATCCCAGATTCTGTAAAGTTATTTATTTCATATTCTGTATAGTTTTTCATATTTATATCCTGTTCAAAGCCTGTACATAGCTTGTACTCACTACAGCCTGTACATACTTATAGTTATAGAATATTCACAACATACTTCATACCGTGTACATTATAACATACCATAATAGACCCATTTCTGTAATATACTCACATATCTATATTATTGCTAATATATATTGTAATATATCTATATCACTAAAGCACTTCTGGATGGATGCAAACTGCATTTCGTTGCCCTGTACCTGTGCATGTGCAATGACAATAAAGTTGAATTCTATTCTATTCTATTCTATTCTATTATAAGAGCTTATTTATCACAGGCCCAACATTTGATTTTATATGAAAGAGCAAACACAGAGGGCGAGCCGCTGCGATGACACGGATGATGTTTTAAAACGTCAGTTTTAAACGAAACGATAAACTCAGAAACACATCGTCCCACTTTGAAGTCTCACCTGAGTCGTTTAAACTCAGATCATTGGACTCATGGATGCTTTGGCACTAATGTGTCTCCATACAAACTGGAGAGAAGGATGGAGTGATGGATGCGCTCATGTTTCACTTCTTCACACTAAGTTTAGCTCAGGAAAGCCCCTCGTCTGCTACCTCCTCCTTCCCTGAGGTCACATGGCTCAGTGACTCAGGAGCATGCAGCACCATGGCAGAGGTGCATGATGGGAGAGCAGACATGTAAACGAGGCGGTGGCAGCTGACGGTAACGGCTCGCTGCAGCGTGAAAAACAAAACCCCGCCTCCATTACAGCCTTCTGGCTCCTGATTGGACCATTTCAGGAAGCAACAGCGTTTATTTGTTTGTTTAATTACTTTATTTTTAAAAAATGACAAATGAGTCACAAACAAACAAAAACACCAAAACACAACATCTGCAAACACATGTTGCTGTGTTTAGTTGCAGATGTCGTGTTTGGTTGCAGATGTCGTGTTTGGTTGCAGATGTCGTGTTTAGTTGCAGATGTTGTGTTTTTGGTTGCAGATGTTGTGTTTTTGGTTGCAGATGTTGTTTTTGGTTGCAGATGTTGTTTTTGGTTGCAGATGTTGTGTTTTTGGTTGCAGATGTTGTGTTTTTGGTTGCAGATGTCGTGTTTGGTTGCAGATGTTATGTTTAGTTGCAGATGTTATGTTTAGTTGCAGATGTTGTGTTTTTGGTTGCAGATGTCGTGTTTTTGGTTGCAGATGTTGTTTTTGGTTGCAGATGTTGTGTTTGGTTGCAGATGTTGTTTTTGGTTGCAGATGTCGTGTTTTTGGTTGAAGATGTCGTGTTTGGTTGCAGTTTTATGTTTAGTTGCAGATGTTGTGTTTTTGGTTGCAGATGTTGTGTTTTTGGTTGCAGATGTTGTTTTTGGTTGCAGATGTTATGTTTAGTTGCAGATGTTATGTTTAGTTGCAGATATTGTGTTTTTGGTTGCAGATGTTGTGTTTTTGGTTGCAGATGTCGTGTTTTTGGTTGCAGATGTCGTGTTTGGTTGCAGATGTCGTGTTTTTGGTTGCAGATGTCGTGTTTTTGGTTGCAGATGTCGTGTTTGGTTGCAGTTTTATGTTTGGTTGCAGATGTTGTGTTTTTGGTTGCAGATGTTGTGTGTTTAGTTGCAGATGTCGTGTTTGGTTGCAGATGTCGTGTTTGGTTGCAGTTTTATGTTTAGTTGCAGATGTTGTGTTTAGTTGCAGATGTTGTGTTTTTGGTTGCAGATGTTGTGTTTTTGGTTGCAGATGTCGTGTTTTTGGTTGCAGATGTCGTGTTTGGTTGCAGTTTTATGTTTGGTTGCAGATGTTGTGTTTTTGGTTGCAGATGTTGTGTTTTTAGTTGCAGATGTTGTGTTTTTGGTTGCAGATGTTGTGTTTTTGGTTGCAGATGTTGTTTTTGGTTGCAGATGTTATGTTTAGTTGCAGATGTTATGTTTAGTTGCAGATGTTGTTTAGTTGCAGATATTGTGTTTTTGGTTGCAGATGTTGTGTTTAGTTGCAGATGTTGTGTTTTTGGTTGCAGATGTTATGTTTGGTTGCAGATGTTATGTTTAGTTGCAGATGTTGTGTTTTTGGTTGCAGATGTCGTGTTTTTGGTTGCAGATGTCGTGTTTGGTTGCAGTTTTATGTTTGGTTGCAGATGTTGTGTTTAGTTGCAGATGTTGTGTTTAGTTGCAGATGTTGTGTTTAGTTGCAGATGTTGTGTTTTTGGTTGCAGATGTTGTTTTTGGTTGCAGATGTTATGTTTGGTTGCAGATGTTATGTTTGGTTGCAGATGTTGTTTAGTTGCAGATGTTGTGTTTTTGGTTGCAGATGTTGTGTTTAGTTGCAGATGTTGTGTTTAGTTGCAGATGTTGTTTTTGGTTGCAGATGTTGTGTTTAGTTGCAGATGTTGTGTTTTTGGTTGCAGATGTTGTGCTTGGTTGCAGATGTTGTGTTTTTGGTTAGGGTGTTGTGTTTAGTTGCAGATGTTGTGTTTTTGGTTGCAGATGTTGTTTTTGGTTGTAGATGTTGTGTTTTTGGTTGCAGATGTTATGTTTAGTTGCAGATGCTGTGTTTGGTTGCAGATGTTGTGTTTTTGGTTGCAGATGTCGTGTTTTTGGTTGCAGATGTTGTTTTTGGTTGTAGATGTTGTGTTTTTGGTTGCAGATGTTATGTTTAGTTGCAGATGCTGTGTTTGGTTGCAGATGTTATGTTTAGTTGCAGATGTTATGTTTTTGGTTGCAGATGTTATGTTTAGTTGCAGATGTTGTGTTTGGTTGCAGATGTTATGTTTAGTTGCAGATGCTGTGTTTGGTTGCAGATGTTATGTTTAGTTGCAGATGTTGTGTTTGGTTGCAGATGTTATGTTTAGTTGCAGATGTTATGTTTTTGGTTGCAGATGTTATGTTTAGTTGCAGATGCTGTGTTTGGTTGCAGATGTTATGTTTAGTTGCAGATGTTGTGTTTGGTTGCAGATGTTGTGTTTAGTTGCAGATGTTGTGTTTGGTTGCAGATGTTATGTTTAGTTGCAGATGTTGTGTTTTTGGTTGGTACGTGCGATGTGGCGCCTGCAGCGAGCATGAACCAGCTGCTTTTTGTTCTGGTCATTAATCAGCAGCACTGAGAGGAAACAAACCACACTTCCTGTTCTACTTCCTGTTGATCAAACTCAGTTTCAACCGCAGTGCCAAGAAAAGAAAACGGTGCATGAGGTCTGACACAGGCGACCTGAGAAAAACCACAGTCCAGAAAATGAGCTCAGGTTTTAATTTTAAACCCGGTTAATGGTTAATAAATAATAATCAGTACTGAGGTCACGATCAGTCGGAGCGAGTGATGAAAACAAAAAAGAAAAATGTACCAAAAGTATGTGGACACGTAGTTAGTATACAGGAGGTGGACATGGCCACCATGAGGTCACCTGAGTCCATGCGGCCGACTCGCGGTGGAGCCTCTGTTTCTCTGTCCAATGCGTGGATCCTTCAGTCCCACTAACTTAACCTTTGACCTCATGGCTGTTTGACAGGAGACGTGGCTGTTTCAGTTTACACTGAGGGCCGGTATTCTGTGTGATCAGCGGCCTCGGCATTCCTGTTTTGATGGCGCTGCAGAAATCTTTCAGCGCTCCTGCTGACTCAATCTCTAATTCCAGTTTTGACGATGTGGAAGTAAAAATGTACGTTTCTGCAGCGACTTCTCGATCCGAGCTGCTGACACGAGCCTCAGCGCGGCGCTGAAGGCTTCCTCAGTAACCTGAAGTCGTCTCCGTGGGTCACCTGACCTCACACTGACTCTGCTGCAGACTCAGGTGAGAGAGGCAGACGTACGAGGGAATCTGGAATCTGTTTGTTTTGTGGATTCACGTCAGAAACACGAGTCAAATAAAAGCTGCTCAGCTTGGTGGGAGTAGAGAGGGTGGCTCTGGTGTCGCTGCGTCGGACCGCAGCAGGCGATGTTTGGTAAACGCACCGCTGCTTCTAACATTCACACTCCGATGGAGGCATCAGAGAGGAAGGATGCATGTGGGCGGAGCAGGTGGGGATCAAACCACCAGCCCTCTTATTAGTAGGTGAGCTGCTCCACCTACAGCCACTCTGGTCGCGCTCTCTTTATGATGAAGTGAGAAACTCGCTTCCTGCTGCATCTTCTTCACACACTTCCACAAACATTGTAGAAGAGCTCAAATCTGCAGGAGGCTGACGGACCCACAGCTCTGCGTGGCGCCCTCTAGTGTGTCAGCCCTGTAACTGCACCTGTTGGGTCAGACTGACCGACCCCACAGGTGTGAAAAACGTTTGCACACCTGAGCGAGCAGCAGGGATGCAGCTGGTTTTCTCTGAACGATCTTCATGTCTGCTGACTCTGATCGAGGTCGACTGTTTTAAACAAGTGATCTTTCTATTAATGCTATTGGCTGATTGCTGACACACACACACACACACACACACACACACACACACACAGAGAGGTGAAAGGATAACCTCTGTCCTGTGATTGGATGTTGGGATGGTTGCAGCACTTCCTGTACGATGAGGAGTCGTTTCTGATGAAGGCGAGGTGAGCTCAGCTCACAGAGTTTAACCTGCACGTTCACATGAATGGGGCGGAGCCAGCAGCATTAGACCAATGACAATAAGCGATCAGTGTATGGACAGCAGAACTCAGAGGAGGAGGAGAAACAGTAACAGCTGCTGGCTGATCGGGCCTGTGTGAGTGACTCAGGGCGATCGGATTATTACTGAGTAATTATGTTTTTGTTGTTGTTGCCTGTCCCGTTTGGCTCTTTTGCATCAGAATTGTTGTCTAAAGGCAAAGAAAGATGCCCAACGGATTTACTTTACCAAATGGACCATCCCAGCTTTGCCTTATTGGTGTATTTGATTCACCTTTTATTGTTTATTTTATTTTTTATTTTCACTTGTTAGATACGGGACAGACTTGACTGGGGAAAAGAAAGAGGGGAAAAACAGCGGGGGGACGGGGGAGAAGGGCAAAAACCAAAAACCAACAGAACGGGCAGAGAAAAAAAATGCATATATCAATCACCTGGATCACCTGCTGAGAAAGAAAAAAGAAAACAAGCAGAAGAGAACAAGAGTAATAGAATAAACAACATCACAATGATATATGGGAATATGACAGTAAATACTAAATATTAAACATTATTGTGCAGCACATAAGATCAACAGAACACAGTGTGCTTTGAGGTAGGAGCCAAAAAGGGTGTAGTTTGTGGGTGTGATCACCCGTGTGCACACCTGTGAGCATGGACGCGCTTGTTTTTAAAAGGTTCCTTCATGTAATGATCTGCTAGAGGGTGTGGGGGGGGCCACAGCCCCATCCTCCAGGGCATGAAGCAGGTATGGAGGAGATCAAAACTCCAGACATCCAGAGGCCCCCAGAACACAAGAGACCAAGGAAGACCAGCAGAGGGGCAGCTGCGCCACTGTCCCGGAAAGAGCTGAGGAGAGTCCCAGATGAGGGCTCACTCAGCAGCCGCGGAGCAGAAGCCAGGGGGAGTTGCAGTGACGCGCCCGTGAGCTCCGCCGGCAGCCAGCCGTGCCTGAGTGACCGAGCCCCAGGCCGAGAGGCCGGGGGCACCCCACCTCCGAAGTGGCCCGAGCGAGCCCCGATAAGCGGCCGCCAAGGAGTGAGCCGGTGTGTACCTGGACGCCCATCCCCGGACACAAAGAACCACCAACGCACCGATACCTGAGGGAGTCCGCCACTGGCAGGGGAAGTGGTGGTAGGGGGAGATAAACCTCCAAACCTTGGAGGGCCTGAGATGTCCCCAGAGAGGTGGCGCCTGACACCCAACCTGACATATAGACACAGACATACAGGCACACACAGATACAAACATCCATTCCCACCCTCATGCTCTCATATGCACTTACTCCACACTCAACCAACGTGGAGACAGACATAAAGAGACGCTGTACACACGATCACACTCCCCAAGCGTACTCTACGAACCGGGTCTAGGTACCCTTGCCCCTGGAGGGGGGAACTGCACCCAGACCCAGGTGGTGTTACCCTTTAGGAGGAGCAGACCGCCCCGACTCCGCAGCAGCAGGGAGGCCCCACACTCCAGACCGCAGTCGGACGGCCAACTCCTCCTCCTAGCCCCCCTGCTCCAGCAGGCCGCAGAGAACGGGGGTGAGAGAAGACTCCAAACCTCCCTCCACCCGCTCATTGTAGTGTTGATGCATGTGTGTTCTAAGGTGCAATTGCATGTGTTCTCTGCACCCTGGTGACATACCCCTACTCCAAGGTCCTGCATGTGTGGGTGGTTGTGGTGGAGCGGGAAGAGGGAGGCAGCTGGAGATGGGGAGGGAAGGAAGGGAGGGGCAAGTGACCCCTCCCTGGGGCCAGCTCCCCCGCTGACCCCAGTAAGCACCCCCATACTCCGCGACCCGCCAGGGAAAGGGGGCCCAGGCCCATCCGGACCGGGGCCCAGTACAGCAGCGCCTCCCGGCCCCACAGAGCCCGGGACAGTCCACCCAACCCCACCACAGAGAAAACTGCACCCACCCCGTCATCCGCTCATCTTCCAGACTACATGAGACAATAGACGCCCAGGCTGAGATCTTCCTCCACCTCTCCTGTATCTCCCCCTCCTGCAGAGAGTTCCTGAGGAGAGGAAAGCTCCTGCAAGATGACCTCTGACCTTGAATGAGTGTCACTCTTGAAAGGCAAGCGTCACGCTGATGTCTGGAACAAACAGCCTGGGTTCTGTGGTGCGTTCACTGACACAAACAACAATCAGAAATTTAAAAAAACAAAAACTGTTTATTACAATTTGAATTTCCCAGCATGCCTAGGGGCTGATACAGACTGTCTGAGCTGTGCTTTAAATAAAGTTTTACGTTTTAGTCCATTACATCTGAATGGACTAACATAATAAAAGTCTGGCTGTGAATAACAAAGTAAGAGTCCAAGACGAGCGCCGATGCTACTCCGCCTAAGTCCGAACCTCCGCCTGATGTAGAGAGGGCGGGGTAGAAACCTGCTTCCTGCCTGAGAGAGGCGGAGCTTCAGTGGCTCTTCTTGGACGAGCCGAAGCCAGAGAAGCCCATCACTGCCGCCATCTCTTCGTCCTCCTCGAAGTCCACGTCCTCCTCCGCCCGTCGCTTCCGCTCCTTCTGCTTCTCCTTCTTGTACGCCTTCGCCTTCTCCTCCTAAAGACACGCAGCACAGACACCCGTGAGGAACGCGCTCATCCCGAAAGCCTCACGAGATCCATAAAACTCCTCCTCACCTCCTCCCGCAGCTCCTTCATGCGCTCCTCGAAGTCGTACTCCTTCTGTTTCTCCTCCAACTTCTTCTTGTTCACCTCGAATCTCTTCTTCACCTGATCAAGAGACGAGCGCTCCACCCGCATCGACATGCCCAGGTTCCTCTGATCTGCTCACACACACACACCACCTGCTGTTCACACTGAAGAACATCAGCAATGATGTGTGTGACATGATTTTCAAAATAAAAGCCTCCTCTCTGATCAGGTGTTTTAGGCTGTGAACTCACGTTTTTTGCCGTTGATGTGATCCAGGAAGTTGATGGAGTCTTTGACCACACAGTCGCACACGTTACAGTAATACCTGAAACACCAAAGGAAGAAAAAAGGTCACCTGTATGTCCTTGCTCCGCCTATATAAGGAGAATGGCGGCAGCAGCTGAGCAGCCCAAACTTTGAGCGAGGTCATCAGATACGTTTGTGTGAGAGAACAGAGCTCTACTGACTTCAGCTGACAGTGTGGGCGGAGCTTGTCCTGACACTGACCTCCTTGTCAGTGAGTGAGCCTTCATCACGCCATATTTTCACCTGTAAAGCAGCTGCAGCTGACTTGTGACATCACACGTCACGTCAGCGGTTGCTTTCGTTCAGCTTTTGTTTTGTTCTCAGTCTGCACGACAACTTGAAGAGACGATGGCGTGTGAACCTGGTCTTACCCGCCCATCTCGGCCTGCGGTGTGGTCTTGGTGATGACGATGGTCTTCCCCAGCTTGGACTCCAGGTCCACCTTGTAGTCCCGGTGACGCAGGAGGTCCCGCTTGACCGGCGGCGCAGTTTTTCCTGAAGGTGCCAACATGTGACAGGTTAATACAGAAAGTGAAAGCCTAAGCTCCTCCCTCTGAGCGGCTGATGTTCTTACCATCTCGCCGCTCGCGCTCCCTCTCCTCCACCAGACGTTTCTGGGCGAGGTTCTCGTACTCGTCTTTGTCCCATTTCCGCCTGAAGTCGTTTTTACTCGACTGGAAGAGAAAAGAGAGACGCTGCCGTTACCGCGCTTCCTGTCAGAGCTGATCACAGAGTGGAAATCACAATCCACAGAAACGTTGATTCAGTGACATGAAATCATTAATCATTTCTGGTATTATTGATAAGTCCCCATTCAGAGGTTAAAACACGGTCTGAGCTTCAGCTTTTATTTTTAACTGCTAAACTTCTGTCATCCTCTATTTTATGTATATAAGATTTAGACTGGGTATTTACGGATGTATATACATATAATTACACATATATACATAGACAGATATATACGTGTGTGTGTGTGTGTCGTTTACATATTGTTGTGATTTACGTTGCTGTGCTTGAGGGTCAACCGGAACCAAACTCCTTGAATGTGTTTGTGCATACACACGGTCAATAAACGTGATTCTGAAAATAAAGACGTCTAACTTTTACCTCCACCTGCTGCCTCCTCTCTCTACAAATCAAACATGTGGCTTATCACTAAAATACAGATCATCTTAAAGTCAGAAAAGCAGCAAGTCTTTATATCTGAAATAAAAAACATTTTAATTCGAGCCTGAGCTGAGTTCCTTGTTTTGAGGTGAAGCTTTTATTTTGACAGGCCGGAAGTCACACCGCTTGCGCTAACAGGCTAACACTGATCAGCTAATCTGCTTCCGAGCTGCAGGAGGGACAAGAACAAACACGAAGTGCCAAGCAGCAGAGAGTGGGTTAACGAGCACTGGCATAACGTTTAGAAAACGTCTGAAATGAAACCGGAAACGCTGAACAGGGTCACGGTTAGCATGCTAGCTGCTGCTAGCTAAGCGCGCTGCAAACAGCTGTCTAAAGACGGAGAACCGGCTTGAACCGGAGCCGGTAACAACCGCGACTACGACAAATCCCGAGAGTGAAACACGCCCTGCTCACACCGCCGAGCTTTCATGTTTTTACTCTAAAGAAGAAGAAACGCTCAGAAACTCACCCCGCTGCCTGACGCCATCTTGTTTACTTGTGACCGGAAATGACGGCAACCGCTGTAGCGTCATTTTTTTCAACAGAGATAGAAAGAGCGCCACCTGCAGGAGAAGAGGAGGTGAGGATAGGAGGCCCTTTATCAAACCCATCGCTGCTTCAGTCTCAGCAGGTTTACCGACCTTCACGTCTGCACGACGAACCTGCAGCACTGACGGCAGCGAGCTCTGAGCTCAGCGTCAGGATCTGTCAGGACTGCTGAGCGCTGGGTGGGAAGTTTCCCTGTCAGGACTCTTGCTGCAGCATTTTGGATCAGCTGAAGGCTTTTCAGGGAGTTTTTAGGACTTCCTGATAATAATGAATTACAGTCGTCCAGCCTGGAAGTAATAAATGCATGAACTAGTTTTTCAGCATCACTCTGAGACAGGATATTTCTAACTTTAGAGATGTTGCACAAATGGAAGAAAGCAGTCTTACATATTTGTTTAATATGTGCATTGAAGGACATGTCCTGGTCAAAAATGACTCCAAGGTTCCTCACAGCGTTACTGGAGGCCAAGGTAATGCCATCCAGAGTAAGAATCTGGTTAGATACCATATTTCTAAGCTTTTCAGGGCCGAGTACAATAACCTCAGTTTGATCTGAATGAAGAAGCAGAAAGTTAGAACATAAGAAGATCCTTTATGAGCTTCACGTTGTTTCTGTACTGGGATGAGCTCTGAAGCCTGAAACGTCAAATACACCGTTCCTCTGCAGATCATCAATGAGCTCTTTCAAGAGTTTTTGATGGGTTGGAGAAAGTATTGAAGTCAGATTGAGACAAAAGCCCACAGAGCCCTCGTTACCCACCGCAGCAGCACCGATGTTAGCGGCTTGTGTCAGATTGGCGTTAGCACAGATTTGGTGACTGATTAAACCTGTTGTGATATCAGAGTGATGACAGATTTATCATACCTCACAGTCCACACTCACACAACCAACATCCATTTATCAGCCTGTCTGTGGGACTCAGCTGCTCCCGGCCCCCCTGCTGGTGTGGGGGATCTGAGCAGCTCTTCTGTCTGTGCGGTGCTGAAGACGCAAATGTCTAATGTGATAAATATGGATGATTAAATACTGTTTGACTGTATCAGTGATAGGATGAGGAAACTGGCTCGCTATGATATTCTGAATAAGATGAAACAGGAGAAACAGGCCTGACTGCAGCACTGATGTTCGAATCAGCTGTAAATATGTTTCTGACTTTATTTATTGTTTAGAGCAATAAATTTAATGTAATTCCTGAAATAAAAAACTGTTTATCAACGGAATTTTAAAATAAAACAAATCAGGGACCAGCTGGAGCGTAACCAGGTTGATTTTAACACTTAGAGTCCCCCGTGAGCAGCAGTGCCCAGCCTTCTACCTTTCTACCTTTAAAACCTGCCTACCAGCCAAATGGCTGGAAGGCTTTTAGCTAAGCTTTAGCTTCAGCCAAGTGGAAGCTAAATTGGCTAGTCATTCATATGTAAATTAGGTTGTTACCTGGGAATTCTGGAGGGGAGTGGGGGTGTGTGAATGAGGGGGTGGGGGAGCTGCTAAAAGCTGTGAACTTCCTTTTGTGTTCGTCTTGATGCATTCTCAATCATCCAGGGAAATAAATCTCCAAAAGTCACCAACTTGGAGTGTTTCAGTTTGCCATCTTAGGGAGAAATCAACACACATGTGTGTATGTCCTTTGTTGCTGAGATTTATTGATAAAAACAGTACAAAAAACCAACCATTTGTACACATATTTACAAATAATAATAAAAAGTGAGTGAGTACATTTCAACATTTTCAGCAATCACTCACAATCCTGGCACTGCCATGGTATCTGTCGTCTGCATTTACCACATGTGTGTCTGTAGCAGTGAACACATCGCACAGTGGCATGATTCTTCTTGCATTTGTGTTTGACCTGACACATGGCTCTTTTTCCAGGGCTCGGTGTGGAGCGCTAAGGTGAGGCCCCGCCCTCATCGCGGCCCCGCCCCCTCCGCTCCAGGTGCCGCTCATTAAAGGCTGTGAGTGCGGACCGACGTGTTCTGTGAGTCCGAAGATGTCCGCGAGCAGAGTGGAACCGGCAGAGCAGAGCCCGCCGCTGTCCTCCAGGTACGTGTCTGTCCTCACCTGCAGCTGAGCTCAGCCAATCACAGCTGGGATTCTTAGCTCAGGCTGCACCTGTTCGTGTTCCGTTTGTTTGGCGTCTTTGTAAAGTTGAGCGGGCCGAAGCAGCTGATGTCTGTGAGACGGAACAAAGCCGAACCGCGGACAGGTTCTCGGGCGGCTTCGTCTCGTGTGGTTTCCGGCTGTTTGTTCTCTTTAAACACGCGCTGGGTCTGCGCTTCGTGACGTCAGCTCTCGGTATGAGTTCGCGGACTCACCTGTGTTCTCTGTACCTGCAGCGGCCCGGGTCTTGCTGCCAGGCTCCCGGTGTTGTGCCAAAAACTGATTTCCAATGTTTTTGGTGTTTGTGTAATGTCTCTACGTGTGTCGGTGAACACGGTCCTGGCGGCCAGGTTACTCTTAAAGAAGACTTTTTTTTTTTTAACTGGACAGATAAAGGTGAACTCAAGACGCTGCCAAACACTGATTGGTGCTTCCAGCCTGTTACAGGAGTGCTGTTTGTGGCTCAACATGACTGGATGCCATTCATGAGGAAACGTCACACATATTATAGACCAACAGCTTATTTTTGTCAGTTTAAATACGAGCAGTGAGTGTTTGGCGCACGCCGCCTCAGACTGGAACCTCTGCACTGACTTTAAGCACACGCGTATCTTTAACACTTAAACTCTGAAAGCAGCAGCTCGAACCTGTGAGTCAGTGACGAAGGACCTGAGCTGTGACCTCGTGATGTCCAGAAATGAGACTCGTGACGAGGCTGAGCTTGCAGGTGAGCAGGGACACACTTGGGACGTGTGGTCGAGCTTTGTATAGTTTATTGATATGAGCTGTTCCATCAGTCCACTGAAAACATCTGTAACATCTGCATGCTGAGACTGGGGTGCTGACGTCTCAGGATGAGACTGACAGACGTGTGGCCGCTCGCGTAGCGACAGAAACAGGAAATGATGTAGTTTCTACATGGTGCTCGTCCACAAACAGAAACCTGGGCTGAAAGCAGGGGGGAGGGGGTCTCCCGGGACTCGTTGGCCTGGATGAGTCCAGGTGTGAATCCTGAGTGCTTAACCCCCCATCATCATCATCACAACGACTCTGACGAGGGGAGGGGGGTCAACGACCCTTCGAGGGCTCTGAATCGCTCAGTGACCTGAGGTGAGCTCGTCAGTCTCACCTGGACTCTCTAAACCGGGTGTGTCTGCTTGCAGCTTCCTCTTCAGCCCGTGGTCGTGTGTCTGCACGAAGGGCTGGTCGGCGACCATGTGGAACAGCCTTTCTGACCCGGTGCTGACCACCACCGCCTCGGGATGCTCCGCCCCCGAGCCGTGGCTGCTCCCCGGCTGCAGCTCCGTGTACGACAGCCTGGTCAGGTATGAAATTCTCCTGCAGAGGGGTGGGGTCAGTGTAGCGTGGCAGAGACGGCGCCCTCTGCAGGCCGTGGTTTCTCCTGACGCCTTTCTCTTCTTTGCAGTAACGTCTCTCCTATCCCGTCTCCTCGTGGCGCCGGCGGCATGCGAGGACAAGAGCGAGTCATCAGCAGCAAACCACGCAGGTATTTGGCTTCTTTAATCCAGGCTAACGAGCCGTTATCAGGATCAGCTAATACTGCGCGGACCAGTAAACGTGGACTGAAACCTGAAGGTCGCCACAGCAGGTGTTCATGCAGCTGTTCTTCCTCAGGTCCTCCATCCTGGAGCGCTGCATCCTCAAAGTGTCCACGAGCAGCGTGGCCGTGGGGACGGATGACGTGGACAGCAGGAGGTGAGTACGAGGGACATTCAGAGGTTCTGACCTGCTCTGTGCATAACCTGCATCAGGTGGCAGTAGGCCACGCCCCTGAGCTGTGTTGGCCTGTGGCGTTGCCTGCAGCACTGCACGCTGCTGGAGCCTCTTCTTCACTGGGTTTCTGTGTTCCCTGTGTAATTTGTCGCTCTGTGAAGGCCCCACATCAGCCGCTGTTACCCCCGCCTGCCGGACCCAACCAACACGGAGACCAACGCCGCGGTTCTGAAACGGCGGCAGAAACAGATCCAGTACGGCAAGAACACCAGCGGATACCAGAACTACATCCAGCAAGTCCCCAAGTAAGAACTCGGAGCATGACGCAGAGAATCGGACGACGGTTCCTCAAACGTCGACGCTGACACGCCTCTCTGGTTTCTCTCCTCCTCCTCAGACACCTGAGGGATCCTAAGCTCCACCCCTCCACTCCTAACAAGTACAGGAAGTACAGCCGGCGCTCCTGGGACATGCAGGTGCGTCTGTGGAGGCGAGCGCTGCACCTGTGGGACCCTCCGACCGGCGCCCAGCCGGATGCCGCCGACACGCCGGACCCCGTGGAGCAGCTGTAGGTGGAACCCAGCGCCAGTTGACATTTATCCAGAAACTGATCCTCGTCAGCTGAGGCCTTTCTGTGACGTCATCAGTGTTTTCTCTCTTTAGGCAGAGTCAGCTGGAGAAGATGACCTCTGACCTCTTTGAGAATGTTGGAGACGAGCAGAGAGAGAAGGAGACTCCAGCATCCTCTAAAGTCTCCTCTGTGTCTCCTCTGCTGGCCGCCACGCCCTCAGCGCTGCCTGGAGCCTGGGCCGTCCCCGTGTCGCCGGTAATCAGTCACCAATCAAATTCTTCGGCTCATTAAAGATGCGTTAACTTTATTTAACGTCCTCTGTAAAACACAACATCAGCTGATCGGTGACCTTATTTATTCCTGTTTGTTTCTCTGCAGCTGGAGGCGAGCCGCCGGGCGCGTCGCTCTCCTCCAGGCCTGAACTACTCACTCAGCAGTCAGCTGACCACCGATGACAGCATGACCGACTGGCTCCACCTCCTGATGGAAACGGACCACGGCCAAGGTGAGGTAACTCAGCCAGCAGGGGGCGACTCCTGAGGGCGAGCCTGCTGGCTGGTTTGGGGCGGGGCTTGGTCAGATCCAGAGGTGGGAAGTAACTAAGTATTTGTACTGAAGTAGAATTTTCAGGTGTTTGTTTTACTTGCACGGTTCGTTTGGCTTTGCACACAAATAGGAGCCACTCTTACTCAGTACTTTTTACTGGAATAAAAAAGTTGAAGCAGTCCTGAAGTACAGACTGTGGGGACATGAGGTCACATGAGGACTGCTGTGGTTACATCAAACCTGCTGAGGCAGGCGATCGGGGTCTTGTTCTGTGACATGTGCTCACTTCCTGTTTGTCGGCTCACCGCCATCTTGTTTCTCCGTGCAGACTCTGATGACCAGCAGGTCCCTGTGTTCTCCGACCAGCTCCTGTGGAACCCGTACTGACCACCCGACGCAGTCCTCGCCCTTGTTTCCTCATCGTGTCTTTTTAAATGTGTCTGAAGATTAACTGAACGACAGCAGGGATCCGATTGGCCGCCACCCCCCCTCCCAGGTGCTGAGGTTTCCCGGCTGCTCGTGAACGCGTCGTCAGGGCGGACAGCTGAACACTCGGATGCACCTGAACGTTCGACCTCATGAAGCACTGCTCACCTGTTCTGCACTCATTTCTGTATCGACTCACTTTGGTGTCACTTTGTTGTCTTTGCTCCACCTTCACCTTCGTGCTCTGCTGTCTGGCTCAGGCTCCTCCCCCCCGCACCGCCATGTTTTTTCTCAAAAACGACCCCCTGCTGAGTGGAGGGGAGCGGCCATCTTTGTGTTTGAGTTTTCTTTTTACTCTTCCTACTTTTTTTGCTGCTTGACTGTCAAGAGCAAAGCTGAACCATGTGATTAATAAAGGCGTAAATAAAGTGTTACTGATCCACAGGCCGACTCGTTCTTCTTCTACCCTCCATAAAAGTGTTGGACATGCAGAGGTGTTCACTGAGGGTGTGCAGCTGTAAGAACCTGGACTCCAAACACGAGTTGATCTTCTCTGTCCCATCAGAACATCTGGGTTGTTTGTTTTCACAGAAAATCCTTAAATGTGCAGAATAAGATGAAGCGGCTCGTTTAAATCTACTTCTTGCTTCTAAAATGCAGCTTTGAATAAAATTTAATTTATTTTTAATCCATAAATGATTTTTACTCGGTCTGACTATCCACGCATTTTATCAGGTTTTACGTGTTTTTTTTTTTTTTTTTTTAAAAAAAAAAAAAAGTAAACCCTAAAGATGAACTCCTTATTTCTAAACTAGATTTTAACTCTAACAGTTTTCTTTTAGTCTGTCAAATTTATTTTCACTGTACAGTTTATTTAACAAAGTCTTTTTGCTTCCTCTTTGTTTTTAAAATATTCAGATTTCAAAAATGTAATATTAATAGAATCAATTTTTAGTTTCAACCACGTATTTTTATTTCTTTTTAGTCTCTACTCTTTTCTCTTCACCATTTCTACTCATTTTTCGTTATTTTTAATGTCCCGGTGTCTGCACGGTTCTCCGAGGTTCCTCCGGTCGGGCCCGGTCCGCGCAGTTTCTGCGGGTTTGCCCTTTAACGCGAGCTGTGGCGGTAAACAAGCCTCCGCGGACTCCAGCTCCCGTCATGCCCCGCGTGGCAGCGTTCTCGGAGATTCGCCCCGGGTTCGTGCGGCAGGTTCGGCTGTGCTGAGCGGCGGCACTGCGGACCGGATCAAAGGATCAGACGTAAATAAACGGCAGGTGCCGGTGATGCGCTGAAGCCCCGCCCCTCCTCCGCTGGCACCGTAGCTGTTATTTATGAATGCCCGCCGCTCACGGGCGTGTGCGCGCGCAGTCCTCGTTATTATTATTATGTTTTAATAACGGAGACCGGACACCGATCCAGGCAGATGTGCGGCTCAGTGCCGGAGCCTGCGATGCCCGCTCCGCGCGGTTAGATTCCCGCTTCGTTCCGCTGTGTTCGACGATAATACTGGGTCGATACACCGAACACAGAGCCGTTCGCCGGCCCGCTGCAGCCACAGGAGCCGCCTCACCCCGTCAACCGACAAGGTAAGCACTGCGCCGGGCCGGAGAGAGCGGGACGTGTGTCCGACTCCGTCCCGCAGCATCCCGCCGTGTGTCGCCCCCCTCTCGCCGCTCCGGGAGCTCTCGGGCCGGCCACACGCCGTCAGCACCGCTGTTCCGATCGCTGTTGACGGCCTGCGGTGGTTCTGCTGAGCATGGGCCTGTGAGGGGTCCGGTGTGTGCGGACGGCCCTGGCCTGGGTGATGGCCGGAGGCGGGACAGACACCGGGAGCATCATTGATGTTCGTGGGTTGTTTGTGACACCATTAACGGCGGCTAACGGGTCAGCTAGCAGCTAACCCGTTAGCCGCCGTTAGCTACTAACTGCCGCCCTGTTCGCTGCTAGCAGCCCGGCACGGGCCCCCGGAGCCCGGGAGGCGGTGGAGGAGGCAGAGCCGTCACTCAGCGGCTCCCATCCTCCGAGCAAGATGGCTGAGTTTATTGTGCCGACCTTGAGCGGAATAACGGGATGACTTGTTATTTATAGCAGCGAGCTAACGGCTCAGGTGAACTGCTGGTGATGTAACGGTCCGCCGTCATAACACAAACCGGGGTTTGTGTTTTTTTTCATGGAGTAACCCTCCGCAAACACACCGCCCACCGGGCCGACAGGTACACGGGCGGAAAGCATCCCTCATTAAAAGCAATGGGATGCTTAGCCACAAGCTAACAAGCTGTCGGGGGTGCCCGGCGGCCTCGGTCAGCCCGGCTCGGCTCGGTTCGGCTCACGGTCATCGGCATGTACCCGGAGCCGATATTCCCCCAGCAGAGCCGCGCTAACCAGACCCCGGGGTTCCGCCCCGATGACGGGGTGATGGTCCCCTGTTCTTGGCCCCTGACCTGGTTTACAGGAGCCCCAGGGGGTCCACGAGTAACGGAGTAACGGTACTCAGTTACAGCACTGATGCAAGGCTGCAACTGGAGAGTAACGACATGAAGGAGTGAAACTGTTATTGTTATTATTATGAGTGTTAACTGTGTGACATAATAATTAAAGTCTAATTTCATGCGATGAGCGGTCCAGACTAATCTCTGGGACCTTGTATTCCTTTTGAGGTTATTTTTTTGTAATTTTGTTGTCAGGTTTTTGTTTTTGCTCTTTTTGACATTTCTTTTCCGATTGAATGTCTAGTCCTGGCTCTTGCTGGTTGTTATGTGGGTATGCCTCGTGTGTTTGTTCTGCAGTTTTCCTGCGTGGCTTTGGGGGGTCTGGGTGGTTTTATGTCGCCTCGACGGCGGTGCAGGTGGTTTGTAGTCTCTGTGAGCTCCTTTTCACACTTTAGTCTTTTTTGTTGTTGTTTTTGTCGGGTCTCAGATGCGCTTCCTCCAGTCGTTCATGGTGGTTTCTTCAGGCTGTTTGGTCGTAGCGTCTTTGAGGCAGTCTTTAGTCTGTCAGTCGTTTCACTCTGTGGATGTTTTCGTGGGTCTCTTTTGTGCTTCGTCTCTGTCCACGGGGGTCTTCTTCTTCTTGGTGGCGTCTTTTTGTTTTTCGGTGTCTCTTATAGGGGTGAAAATGAAGAGTTTATTGTTTGTCATTCTGAGGTTATTGTCTCCACCATCACTAATTGCACTCTGTGTGGTCAAATATTTGTGCATGTTGGAGCAATTTCCCCTCTTTGTTGCGGTCAGGTCAGCAGTGGTCAGCGCCGACACACACACACACACACACACACACATGAAGAGAGAGAGTATGCATAGTATCCAAACAACCATCATAATTCATCATACAATGAGAACACGACGAATCAGCAATTGACAATGACTAATTAATATTCTATTATTGTATATATTGTTTGGAGTTTAGTCTGTTACTGTTGCTATTTTTACCATTTCATGTTGGAGCAACTGTAACCCACATCATTTCCTTATAAAGTATTCTGATTGGATCATGGCAGGTCATCCTGAACCAATCACACGTCTGCTTACCTGCATCTTTTGTTTCTCTTCCTCTTCTTTTCCCTTTTTTCTAAACTGAGCACCTGATGGCTTTGAACTTTTCTTGTCCATCTTGGTTTTAATTTTGCCCTCCAGTACGAACACAAATCCCCCAACCCGAGGATCACCGCAACATATCCTAACAGACCGACACCTTAGTTCACAGATTCACTTTGTCTAAGGTGTGTTTCTGGGATTTCACACAACCCAGGATTCAAATCATGAATCCATGATGGGTTTGGATTTACAACATTATGAAATGTGCTCTATTTGGAAGCAGCAGGTCTTCCTCCCCTTTTGACGGGTTGTGTGAGCACAAAGCAAAGAAAAAACACTTTATTTGCACAGCGAGGGACAATAAAGGATATTTCAGTTTCTATTGTGTTCTACTGCAGAAACACGAGCAGGTAGCTGAGCCTGGCTGTTTGCTACCTTCAGCTCAGGCTGTGGCTGCTGTGCTGGGTTCTTCGTTAGCTTAGCATTAGCACGGTGTGTGATGCAGTCTCCACTTTAAACTAGAAAAGTCAAAGGAACGTCCGTTTACACGCTGCAGACCTGTTTTCCTCCTCTGACACGTGAACTGCAATCAGCTGATTGTAGTGCAACCAGAACTGATAAGTGGGATCAATACACACACAGACGAACAATTCCAAACAGGGACTTGACTGTGGGACTGGTTCCCAGTG